GCTATTGGTATTTAACATATGGAAAACTATTGTGTAAATACTGTAAACTTAGCTTCTGGGAATTGTGAGAACTTCAGATAGTCATCATGAGGGGAAAAAATGTGCAGCAGATGATATGGAAGTTTCCACCATGGACATCCCCATCATAACCACATGAACAGAAATGTTTCCTAAAGCAACACCATTACTTGAAGGCACCTGGTGGTAGGTGGTTAAAATAACAGAGATCACTGGAAATGTCTACACTCTTGGCTCTTGTGAGTACTGTAAGGATTAATGTGTGAAGTGCTTAACACAAAGCCTCAATGTGGCAGGTGTTAATGTTACTAATAGGCATGATTCCTTATAGTTCCTGCATCCATTTCTCCATAGGAGTACCAACTACTTTTCTTAAGGAATTAAACATAATTGTTGAAAATGGTTGTGTTTATGGAAAAATGCACCCCCCCCAAAAAATCCAAAGAGGCTAATGAATTTTATTTAAAGGCAAAAAGAAAAAAAGTGATAGTTCTGTTCTACTCTTAACAATACTATTCTGATTCTGTGTAAATACGCGACTATGGAGCTTGCTAAAAGTGGTTATGGGAATCAGTCATCCAGGAGGGACCTTTTCTTTCAAGAATCAGCATTCGACCCTGCATTTGCTTATATCTGTGGAAGAACACAGGGTGGGGGGAGCTTTAAAAAATTAAAAGCCCTGGGTTTTCTAGGAGTAAGAGTAACTTTCAATCAATTCAAATTGCTATTACTTAGGATATGATTCTAAGCTGTTCACCTCATCTAAAAGCCTTGGCTCATAATTTTTGACTAGATGTCTGGATGTCAGGAACAGAATCAGAGAAAAAGAAAATTTGTATATGAGCATCCTGAATCCTGAGTCCTTTTCTGAATTATGCCTGATACTCCTGGCAGAGAAAGTTCTACTGAAATGACACAGGCATGGCAAATGTTGGATGCCAGGTTCTTGAAGAAAACATTGCTTCCTGCCCTGGGCAAGGAGGGATTGGGATGTTTGCAGTTACTTTGGGAGTTTCAGTTAGCTGTGACTGAATGGTGATGGTGAGGTTTAAAGGGCAGAAAGGAAGGGGCTGAATCATCTAGGACCACACAAATTGGCTAGGTCCAGTGCCATTGGAAATAGACCATGTCTTTATCCCTCCTTAGGGCAAGGGCAATCAGAAATGGAGCATCAGCAATGGACAGTTCTAATAATGGGGATAAATCATAAAAGTTGGAGTACATGGGCAGAAACAAAATTTAGCAATTTAGGAGTCGCACCACACTTAGAATGACTGATTGATTGACTGATAGGCTGATTGATTTAGTTATTTAGGGAAGGAACTCATCCCTCACCCCATCACTTTCTGGTTGTAAGTAGAAGCACTCTGCCTAGAGACAGACCTGCTCTTAACACATTTGGCTACACTGCCACCTAGATTCTTTGAATCTAGTCACCATTTATAGGAACTAGTGGTAACATTGAGTTCTGTTGCCTGGGAGGAAGATTATAATCATACATATTCATACAGAAGATTAGCAGAAAACAGACCTCTTAGAAGCTGAGCATGAGGGAATGAGAGTCGGAAGGTTTGAGGTCTGCAGGGGAATTTAGGAGCTCATCCTCGAGGTGGAACTGAATGTGGGGAAGGGATTGGAGAATAGGAGAGTGGGGCCATCAACAGTGTCACCCCAACCACAGGAGGAGAAACTTGTGAAATACAGAGAAGGCTGAAAGACACTAAGAGAAAAATAATATATCTTCTTTCATTCTTGGAGTCGAGTGCTTTTCCTGAAAATACATTTGCATTTTATATTCTATTTCATAGCAATGAAGATGTCTCCCTTAGGATTGAGTCAAAGCTCCAGTAATATGATGTAAATGTATGATGTGGTTTCCATTGGAGTCACACATTGTTGCCATACATTTGCTCAATGGACTTTTAAAACATTATTGTCTGACCTTTAGTTCCTGAATGGAGTTCACTGATTGTTACCAACTTTCCAGTTTCTTCTCAAAACTAGGGGCCAAAGCCGGACAAGGGCCACTCTGCAAGGTCCTTCTAGTCAACTCACTAACAATTAATTTCCAGTTGAGTATATTTTGTAAGTGTACTCTCAACATCTTTTTAATGACCCACCCCCATGAATTTTCTCAGAATCTTTTTTTCCTAATTGTTCTTCTTCCATAAAATGTTAATACCCAAGATAATTTATATATTTAGTTATGCAGCTGTGGTCTTTGGGAGGGTCACGAATCATTGCATTAAGATCTGGACCCCAGCCCAAACTAATTTTTACTGCCGTGGAGGAGCATGCTTTAGAACTCTTGATGATTGTAGCCCTTCCAAAGTGGTGTTTGCCTCTTATAATTGCTTTTTTTTTTTTTTTTTTTTTGGTACCAGAGATTGAACTCAGTAGCACACAACCACTGAGCCACATCCCCAGCCCTATTTTGTATTTTATTTAGAGACAGGGTCTCACCACATTGCTTAGTGCTTTGCCATTGCTGAGGCTGGCTTTGAACTAGGGATCCTCCTGTATCAGCCTCCCAAGCTGTTGGGATTACCAGTGTGTGCCACCACGCCCGGCAAAATTGCATTCTTTATTTGTACAGTTTCCATTTATTTCCTTATCACTTACTTTCCCTAAGTAACTGGAAGTAGAGCTGCATAGGGTCCCCACACAGTAAGAAGCATCAAGGGGTGCTTGCCCTTTCTCCAACACAAATAACTGTTCCCCAGAATATGACTACCAGCTGCAGCTGCCAGATCTGAAACATACAATTCAGAGGTGTCTAATTGAAAAAGAAAATAAAGATTTTTTTTTCCTGCTAAGCTTAAGGAGGAGCAGGGTGTGAGGTATATCCCTGTCAGATGTAGAATAAAGATTAATAAAGTAGTTTAGGGGACCTCTCCACTACTGCCAGTGAGATGAAATGAATTACCTAACATGGTTTCTCTGCCATTCTTTCCTGTGCCCAGTAATCCTACAGCTAGCATATCTATATAAAAGAGGATGTTTTCTGGAAATATTAAGCATATGAGTTGTCACCTGCATTCACCTGCTAGGGCTGCCATAACGAAGTGCTGTAGACTGTGTGGTTTAATCAGCAGAAATATATTTCCTCCCAGTTCAAGAGACTAAAAGTCAGAAAGGAAGGTGTTACAACCCTTGTCTTTTTGTGAGGCCTCTCTCCTCTGCTAATAGATGGCCCTCTGTTCCCTGTGTGTTCACGTGGTCTCACCCCTGTGTAAGTCTGTGTCTTAATCTCCTTTTTTTTTTAGGTACACCAATCATATTGGATTAGGGCTCATCCTAATGAATTCATTTTAAGCTAATTACCTCTATGAAGCCCTGTCTCCAATACTGTCACATTTTGAGGTACTAGTGGTTTAGGATTTCAACATATGAACATAATTCAGTCCATAATATCATATAAGATGAGGTACAAATAAGACTCTCGTGGGTCACAAAGACACAAGTTAACCAAGATGTTCCTGTTAAATCCCCTCTATGTTTCTCACTGGCTGAATGTCCTTCAGCAACTCAGGTAACCTGTGTGACTTCCATTCACTCATTCTATCCCAAAGGATGGTTTTAGGAATTGAGTCTAATTAATTAATAATAGCTGGAACTGATAAGTAAAGATACAAGTCAAGCATGTAATTGGCTTACAGTAATTGGCTTATAGTAATTGCTCAATAGTCAAGGAGAGACCAGGTGTGGTGGTACATGCCTGTAATCCCAGTGGCTCAGGAAACTGAGACAGGAGGATCACAAATTCAAAGCCAGCCTTAGCAAACTTAGGCCCTAAGCAACTCAGTGAGACCCCCATCTCTAAATAAAATATAAAAAAAGGACTGGGGATACTGGCTCAATGGTTTAGCAACCCTGGGTTCAATCCCTAGTACCAAAAAATAGATAGATAGATAGACAGACAGACAGACAAAGCAGTTTCTTTATTAACTATTCCTCTGGAATATGAATCCAGAATACAGTAGACTGGAAGTAATACTCAGAAAACCAATATTATTAACATGAAGAAAGAAAAAACTGATCTTTTATTGAATACCTACACTACAGTCTTCTCAGTACTCTTACACATAGTAAGCCAAAAGTTTATTTTTTGCAAAAGATTTGTAGGTCATTCATTCATTCAACACTTTTTTTGTGTGTGTGTGTGCATCTAATATGTACCAGGTACAGAAAGCAGTCTTCTCACCTTCTGTATGGCAAGGGCCCTTCTTACTTTCTATACCCAATGTCCTCTATGGTTCCTATAACAGATTAAAGATTCCCTGGCATTAGAGAGCTTCTGCAGAATTCAACAGGGAAATTAAAAAAAAAAAAAAAAAAGGAGAAGGGTCTCCAGTTGAACTATGATTCTTGGAGTCTAAATTTGTTCTGCTCTCTTTGGAGCAGTCTTACCTGAGTCCAGGGGCTGTCGTGCTGTATCACTCTGCTGGTCCACATTACTAATTCAGCTAATTGCAGCAATTATGTGGAAGAATTGCTGCTAGTGAGAGAAGCCATTATGCTACTCCTGAACAGACTGCATTCCACAGCGTTCATTAATTATGCCCGTCTATAGATTCACAACCACCAAATCATGCACTAGAGACTGCACACCATATGCACTGAGACCCTCCTGGAGTCACAGTGCATGTCTGTGTTGGATTGATTCTTCTAGTGCCCATCTTTTGCAACAGTCCTTGTCCTGTCCAGATCCTCACCTTTGAAATTAGAGTCAGGATGCATGATGTGATTTACAGAGAAGGGACAGACCTGAGTCTTCTGGAGCCACACAAACTGTCTGGACTATGGAGAAGTTAAAAATTCTCCATCCTGCAGCATGGCCCTCTTTAGAGGAAACAAACAGCAGTAATGATGGGAGGTGGGACACTATACCAAATCTTTGATATCTTCATGGATTTTCTTATTTTTCTTCTCTCTTCTCTCTCTTTTCTCCCACCCCATCATTTGCCCTTTAACATGAGCAGCCAACCTCAGATGACCTTGTTTCATCTGCTGAATGTTCAAGTGATGATGAAGACTTCGTTGAATGTGAGCCGAGTACAGGTAGGTCAGGTCAGTCTTGTTTTGCTTGCTTTATTCTTCATTTGCAAAAAAATAATACATACATATATGTGATTATACATGTGTTTTAAATATATTATAGTGTGTTAATGTGTGTATTTTCTATATCTATATATGTATAAACATGCATATATAAATATTCATGTATAAACAAAAGCATCACATCCCATGGAAGGATCCCAGAGAAATTCAAAGTCCATTGATAGATAAAGATAAATTCCATGGTAGTCGACAATACTTCGGTTGTCAGATGCACAGATTAACCACTGGGACAGGAAATGTATGGCAGCCAGTGTGCAGCTATGAAATTGACAGGGAGTAAGAGCATGAGGAATTCCATATTGGAATGAGATCAAAGAAGTCTGAACTCAAAGTGGAGCCATGGAAGATTGACAAATATCACTTAAACTTCATGAATTCTTCTGAGCTTAAGTAGCAAAAATAAATAAGTCAAAAGTAAAGCAAGCATTTTTTTTCCATGGGATTTCAACAGCAGTTAACATGGTATTAAATTTATACTAATTTTGTTCATTATATGTCTAGAGAACTTGTACAGCAATATAGTATAGTAAGTACAAAATTAGTACTGAATCATGCCATGTCAACAGCTGTGATGCTTCAAAATGTATCTTCCAAGCCGAAGTTGAGTAGACTTTGATAATTTTAGAAGCTTTAATGTGTACCTCATTTGGACCCAGATACATTTTGATGTTTTATGGTCTTATTTTATAGTGATATATATATGATATAGTGTCCAATAGGCAACTGCAGACCCTAATTATTTCCTATCAACTTTCCCAAATCGTCTGTTTTGAGACTTACTCTAAATTAAACATTTATATGTATATAATAGAGAACAGATATCATCGAATTTCTGTGTATGTTTAATAAAATTAAAATCCTGAGTTGGATCAGGATCTTATTTCTGCAAAAGCTGAAAGAAAGAAATAAAATTTTCCATTGATTCTTTGGGTTGCTTTAATTTTATTTTCCTTCTCTTTAAGAAAAGGCAAGTCATTATTATTTTTTTTGCTAATTCTAGAGAAATTTAAGTTTCATGAAAAGTAATATGTCAAAAATAAAAATCTTATATTCCTTACCCCAAAACTATTGATTTTAAATTTTGTTGAAGCCTAACTGCTTGGTTTCTTGCAAGTTGCTTTGGATACAGGAAGTTCTGTGGGTTTTATCCTTAGTATTACCCAGGGACATACCAATAATACATTGGCCTTACCATCCTGGAGTGATTTGTTCCTTAGCTGTATGGAGGGAAGACAAATGTGACCTTGTTAGAGTTTTTCAGGTTATTGGGTAATAATCTCTATGTGACAACTAAGGTTTTTAACTCTAAAGGGCAGATATATCCAATCCATATGAGATCATGACACCAAAATTTTGTTCGAAAATTAATTCATCTATTCATTCAATAAATATTTCTGAACAGTAGGCAGGATACAATATATCTCTAGATTAGAGTCCTTCCTATTCCAATACTTTCATGAATGAGCTGTCAGAAAATAAAATAAAGAATTTTGCTATATAAATTACCTCTCCAACATAGTTCAGTTCAACAAATATTTTTTGAAACTTAGCTGTGTCTGTTAGGCATGTGCTAGATGGTAAGGACTCAGATATGAATCCAACATTTTTCTCAAAACATACGCAAAATGAACTGACTTGCTAACCAATCATTGAAGATACTTAGACTTTAATTAGAATTCTCTGTTTGTATCCTTTCTCTGATTTTCTTCCTTTCTTATCAGTAATATGTGTATAAGCAGCAATGTTTATCCCATCTTTAGAATATAAGCCATAACAATTCAAACTTTGCCATTCTGAAATATTACCACCATCTTCTCCAAAGACCCCATAAGGTCATCTCCACATGACCCATGTCATCAGAGAGAGAGAGAGATTTTCCAGATCTCAGGTTCACAAGTTGTACATTCCTCAGGTTGTGTGTACATAATACTATTTGATATTGAGCTTGAATAGGCCCAAACTTGATTGGTCCCAGACTAAGTTCATTTGATTTTTAGTGGCTGTACATGTGTTCCAGCTAATTGAAATGCAGAGAACAAAAATTCAATGCCAGCATTCCTTAAGGAACATGGGGCAGTTGGGGAGAGGGAAACAATTTTTAAAATAATCTGTTGAGGGCTGGGGATGTGGCTCAAGTGGTAATGCGCTCGCCTGGCACGCATGGGGCGCTGGGTTCGATCCTCAGCACCACATATAAATAAAATAAAGATGTTGCGTCCACTAAAAACTGAAAAATAAATATTAAAAAATTCTCTCTCTCTCTCTCTCTCTCTCTCTCACACACACACACACACACACACACACACACACACCTCTCTTTAAAAAAATAAAATAATCTGTTCAATTCTGCAAGGGAGCACAGGAGGAAATATATTAAGTGGGGAACCCTGAAAGAGTTAACACGTAGCTCAAATAAATTTATTAATCCCTTCTGCCTGGGATAATTCAATTTATCACATTTGAAAAAACGAGCACTTTTGTTTCCTAAATTTATTTTTTTCTATAACATATTCCTGGTGAGTGATTTGGACACACACAGAAATACATCAGAAGCATTTTTAATACAGGAGACAAGTATCTCTATTGATTAAGAGACAAGAGGTTTGCCCTAAGGACCAGATTAACACTGGTGAGGGCTACCACTTCAGGATTATCAGGCCTTCTTCTGTATCAAATGGAAGCTACCTCAACAGCTTCCCATTTCTAAAGAACAATATGAATTAAGATCAGAAACATTACTAGCTTTTGGAGGCTCAGTGGGCACTGCCTGCACAACAATGGATAGTGGTGACACTTACCTAACTTTGACATAAATTGTTAAGCTTGAAATTCTATGTGAACAGTGAGATGAAAATTCTGGTCTTATACAGCCTAATTCACTGCTTCAGTTTCTAAAATGTTATTCTCTCCCAGGCTTGTTGCTTGATAGAAATACACTATATTGGCTAATTATCTAGCCCTTTTTTCTATCATACTTAACCTTATCTTCTCTCAGTTAACGAGTTTATTATTTCTTATTTTATTATGAGGTGTTTCACGTCTACACATTATTTCCAGATTTATTTAGATTCACTTGAAACCCTCACACTTCATACATTTGGGCAGTTGAGTATATGCTCCAGTTCAATAACTCTTTTCTTATGGACATCAGGTTTTAAATGAAATGATTTTCTAAATTTATTTTCCTTACATCAAAATGAATTTTCTTGCTTCTGGTTTTGAGTCAGAATTAAGCAGTCCCCTTTCATATCTAGAACTCACTTAGGCACTTAGGGATACCCATGGTTTGGTATAGTTTGATTAATTAAATCATGTTTAAAGATAAGTGTTTTTGGAACTTGGTTGACAGTAGTCTAGAAACCTTGTGAATCCAGTAGATGTGTATTTTTTTTTTCTGGAAAATATGCAAATGAGTTAAAAATCCTAAACCATGAAAGCAAGACACAGAATGAAAGCTCAATTAAGATTTGTTGACTGAATTAGTTTGACTCTCAAAATGTCTCATAATCTCAAATTAAAATTGGAGAACATTTTTCTATCTCTAACTTCATCTCGCCATAAACAGCTAAAATAAAACCTATTGAATTATTTAATGTCAATGATTTTGTGCAACTAAATGTTGTCCTAACAAAATCTACATTTCTTCCACAAAAATAAATGTTCTTCTCTCTTTTTTCCCTATCCATCTTTCTCTGGGAATTTAATTCTTTTAGGAGTCACAGATATGATTGCATTTTTCTGAATATGTGCTGTAAGATTCCAGAATTGAGCCTTTAGACAATAAAATCAAATGAAGCCATCTGCATTGAGTGAAAATATCTAAAATATTTGAGTAACTACCCTCTATCTAAAATTGAGGGTCAGGATTTAACTCTTAATTTATAAATGTTGACTGGGTTCCCCATAAAAGAAGTCAGTAATTAATATTTCAAATTTTGCCTTTGCATGCAAACACTTTCCTTCCTAACTTTACTTCTACTTATACTAAATTGGAAGTGAGCTCCTACTGTATTTCATTGTTCCTCTTATGGATCCAACAAGAAACAGATAAACAGTAAAGGGCTCCAATAACTATCACGAAGTGGAATTCTCTCATGAGATATGGAAGCCAATAACAATTAAGATCTTTAACAGGTTCACATTTGTGATCTAAAATGTGGTCATGAATTCTGAAATTCAGAGAAATTGATGACAGTTATTTTTAGTTTCTTCTCATCCTCTCCCACCTGTCACTGCTGTTAATATTCTACTTTTGGAAGCAGAAATAGCATCAAAACAAATATATTCTTAGATTACTTTTTGTACAATTAGAAATTATCAATTTCCCAGAGGTTACATATGTATAGTTTCAATAGTATGAAAGTCTTCATAACAGGTCTGATACAGCAGATTTTAAAAAATAAATAAATAAAAAGAAATATCTAGGATGCCTAAGAAATAGGCATAGAATGACTTAACTACCATATTGATTCATCCAGCTGTTATCTGGGAATACATTTTTCTGGTTGTCAATTAACCAGCTTTTTTGCCTTTGCCTTTGTTCAGTGTCCTTTAATCAGATCTCAAGGAACAACACTTCCTCCAGAGACAGGCAGTGAAAGATGAAACACATCCATCCATCGATAGGGCTGCACTGAACCCCTTTAGTAGTGGTTGGTTTGAAGGAAACGCTTAAACTAATAGCAGTAAAAGGAGATCACAAAATAATTACTATTTCCAGAGTGGTTCTCAGATATATTTTTACTACTCAAATCTATATCCTAACAGTTTTATTTAGTGCCATTGTTACTTTGTTCCTTTTTGTTAGCACTGTTACAATACCTAATGCAGATTAGGTGAAATTAGAATTTAGCAGAACACCAGTTCAGAGCATGTTTGTAGTTGTGTTTTCCAGGTGAACTGGGTTCTTCCTCTTTATCAGTTTGAGATGCCTCACTAAG